AATTGAAACGATGAATATAACTAAACATCGATCAGTGCTTTAAAGCTTTTCCAATCATCCATTCATCCATCCATCCATCTATCAATCAATCGATCATATCACATTCACTATTTGAAATTATAAGTTGAATTCAGTTAGTTTATACATAAACATATACAAAAATTATAAACAAACATACACTAACATTATCATATTTCAGTTTTATTTATTATTTCTAACTCATACAGTATTTGGAATATACAATTAATTAGAATAATTAATTAAAACAAACAAATTACACTGTTTGGAGAAATTTGATTATACATGTCTTAGTGATGTTAAATGATAAGTAAAAGTTTAATTTAAAAAAAAAAAAAATTCTTTTTTTTGTAATAAATGTTGCAAAGGATAATAGATAATATCGAAAAAATAATGCCAATTTTTTTTTTTTTTTTTTTGCTAATTGTTTTTGATATGATAATGATAGAAAGTTGTAGTGTTGTTGTTATCAAATGATAAGCTTAAGTTTCATTTTTCTCAATTTATGTTTAATTTTATTTAGCAAATAAAGTATTAATATAATTCACTGCTAATTTCGATTTAAGCAATTTTTGCAGTTTCGTAGAAATTTTACAATTTCAAGCGTATCACGCAAAAATTATCAAATCATTACGTACGCATTTGTTACATTATCAAGTTAATCTTCTTATAATATCATCAAGTAATACGTGTTTATATGTGCATATGCGTACGTGTGTGGTCACGTGTACTTGTATAATTGTTGTGTCAATTAAATTGTTTATATTATTAATACATTCTTATCATTTTGGTTGAGCATTTGCAAATGAATAATTTGCAATAAAATTATCAAATAGAAAAATAGAAACAGAAATGATAAGAAAAAAATATTTCAATAAAAAAGAAAAATAAATAAAAAGTAATAAAAAAACAAGAAATTGAGCTGATTTTAAAGTAAAAATTAATCATTTCAAATAAAATAATGAATAAATTTTTGAGAAATTATGTCAAAAGAAATAATTCAATTACAAAATATTTTAAGTGAAATATTGAAATATTGGTATAAATTTAATTTATCAAAATGCCACGATGAAAATGAGAGAGAGAGAGAGAGAGAGAAAGAAAAAAAAAAAACAATAATTTTAATTTATACAATAAATCCATCTAATTGTTCCGATTTAAAATAACCAACAAGTAAACTATTTATCACTGTTTTAAATTTCAATATCATTTGAAAAAGTTGACATAATAAATTTATTAAAAAGATTTTATCAAAATAACAAATTCATATTAGAGTTATGCGGTGTTTTTTTCCCCTTCAAACCTACTAAAGAAGTTTATTAATTAATTAAATATTTAATTAATTAATCAGTCACTTCTAAAATTACATACAGTAAAAAATTATTACCGAATTAATTGCTACAAGTAAAAATGATTCAGTGATACGGAAAAATTAGCCAACAATCGATTAGCACCATTTTTCTCAGAGAGATTGTTGAACTTTTATATAAATTGTGAAGTGAATTTTAATATATGCTTAGTAAAAAATAAAATTTGAAATAGAATTGATAACCATTGCCGAATTAAGCAATCAATTGTTGGTTCACTTCCGGTTCAGCTAGAAAAAAAAGAAGGATATATGGGACAAATGCGCCCTTTTTTTTTTTTTTTTCTCATTTTTCTTTTTCGTTCTTTTTTGTCCTTTTACAATTTTCTTTATTAAATGTTTTTGCTTTTAAAAAATTTCACTTTGTACACAGTTCATTTATGAATCATTCATTCATTTTGTCGTCCTTCAATTTCATCAAATTTTTATTATCAACAAAAAGCAAACATTTTAATTCATATGAAATTAGAATTCATAAAAGTGCTTAAATTAAATTTCTTGTCTTGGAATTATATGAAAAATTCAATAAATTGAACAATAACAACAGCAAGAAAAAAGAAAGAATTATCATAAAAAAATTAAAATGAACAGAAATACTTATTGTAAAAAATAAAAGAAAGTGAAATTGATGAGAATGAATGTGAAAAAAGCGCCAATGAATCATTTATTTTCCACTTCAGCGCAATTTTGTTTTTTATCCACATTTTTTTTATTTTCTTTCATTCCTTATAATAACTATTTCCGCTTGTTATGCAATATATCTGTAATTTCTTTTTTTTTTTTTTGATTCGAATTTTTCCTTTCTCAAATTCTCTGAATTCTCTTCTTTTTTTTTTTTCTTTGGATTTAAACATTTTCATGATTTTTCACTATTAGAAAAAATAAAAGTGAAACAAAAAAATACAATTGAGTTTCTTTGAATACCTCAAAATTTTTTGACATTAACAAACAGCGATGCAAGAAATATCTTCTGCAACTGAGTTAATAAGTAGGTATTCGTACTTAAGTAACTGTTTAAGTTAATATAATATCGAGTAAATAAGTAAGTATTGTTTAAATTAGTATATTTAACATTCAAAAATGACATATGTTATGTACATATTGTTGTCTTAGTGCAACCGAATGTATTAAATTTCTATTTTATCATATAATTTCAATTTTTCTCCTTTATCTCTTCTTTTAACATTCAAAAATAATGTTAAGTAAAAAGTAACTTTTTCCTTTTCTCAAAAAAAAAAAAAAAAAACTTCCGAAAATGTATTCTCAAAATCTATTTTCTTTTAAATAATCTACACGTTAAGTCTTAAACTCCGGATAGAAAGCAAGTTTGTCACTGGAATTGTTACTTTTAAAATAAACTAAACTGTCAACAAAAACATTTACACAGCAACTCCAAAATTGAACCCTGGTCCTCTCAGACATTTTGCTTTTTTTTTTTTTTTAAATTGAATCCTGACCCTCTCAGACATTTCTTAGTTTCTTGTAAAAAAAAAAAAAATTAGAATATAACTCGAAGACATATAACATATCAGAATGATAATCCCTTGAGTTAAGATTATATGCGCTCTATGAGAGAGGAAAATCAATATTTCCTTAACTGTCAGATGTATACACTCTTTAACGAGATATTTTGATATATTTAGCTCTTTATTTTGATCTGACATATTGTAGAGCAGGATAGGTTACTTTTTAGTTAACGATATAATAACAAATACTTTGATAAAACAATAATCATTCCTATCTCAAATTACAAAGAAAAAAAGGAAGAAAAAACTACAAAATATCAACAAAGTATACCAAGAAATGATCTGACAACAAAGATGGCTGACAACGCGGGATTGCTTACATCCAGAAATTAAGCAATTATAATGCTTCCTTATTACTTTCCTATTTAAAAATACTAAAATATTTGTGACAACTAATTTTGATTTGAAGATTTGGTTAACTTTCCCAATGGATTATCTGTCAATTTTATAGAAATAAACAACGTATTTTGAAAGAGACTTATGAATAATCTACCCGCAAGAAAGCATTAAAAATAAGGAAATTCAGCGATTTCTTCGAGCCTTCCTACTTTTCTTACTTTGCTTAATTTTTTGTTCACGTTTCTTCTTCTTTATCTTCCGTTGGCTCAGCCATACCGGATATGAACCGTCTGGTTTCTTCATCGTTTTCAAATTTAAATTACCACTATCAGTTTCCATCTGAAATTCCAAAAAATATCGTTTCCACCTTACATTACATGAACAAATACTGTGAAAGGATAAAGAATGAAAACTAATAATCATTTTCTTCTTGCCTGTGACTCGCTTCTCATTATAAAGAACCAAGAAAAAAAAATAGGAAAAGGATTCCAACACCGATATTACAAAGGAGGAATTATTCTCATCATAGCATAAATATTACCATTACAAGTCTAAAAAAAATCAAACAAATTCTTCCGATATATCTGGCATTAATTACGGCTCTAATAAAATGGGTGCACCACATATGCATCAACATTATATATGGAACCAGTCACATCCTTAATGTATCCCTAATATTATATTTTCGATTGGCTCTTTCTTTCTTTTTTCTTTAAATTATAAAAGCTCAATAATATTGCTTTTCTTTATGAAGACAAACAGAAATCACCTTTAAAAGTTCGACATCAGGATCTGCTGACTCGGTTGCCATATCTGCAATAAGTGAATGATAACTGAGAAAAAACATAATGACATTCATATATATATATATATATTTATTTATTTATTTATAACTAGGCCATCTCAATCATAACTATTGGACTAAGAATTTTGGATATGGGTATAGGAAATAGTTCAATATTGAAAATGAGAAATAATGAGACTCTAAAGTACAATTATTTTATTAAATTTTACTTTTAACACTTTCAGTGCTATCGTTCTATCACAAAAATCTTATGCCAAACTAACCACTTGTATTCAATTTTCAATCCTAACTGTCACTTCTGATACGATGCAAGTTTTCACCAAAATTTTTAGTTCTAGCTTAAACTGTATCAAAATTCATTTGTATTCAAGTCCATCTCTCAAGCTATTCGTCTTCAATATCTACTAACATTTTTCTACTAACCAAACATCATACGCCTTTCTCTATTTTTATTTATCTCAACTCATAAAATATTTGAAAAAAAAAAAATGACATTAGAAAGACGAAAAAAAGATACTTGAGTTATCAATTTCCATCTTTATCTTATTGGAATCAAGATTTGAAACAGTTGCTTGCAAACGTTTCAATACACGTGGCGCTAGTCGTTCACGTTTTATAGCACGTACCCGTCGTTTTGATTTTGATCGAATACTCTTCGCCATTTCTAGCAATTATATTTATCTATAAGTATCAATTACAAAATGAAAATGACAAAATTAGCTGAAATGAAATCATATCACGTAATAATTCCAACATTAAATTTCAAATCTCACGTAAAATTTTACTCTGCAACCAATCCTAATCTTTCATGCAATTCTAAATGCATAAAAGATATAACATGAATGTTAAAAAAAACGTAATGTGATTCCGGAATGCAAATTCACAATAATATATGCTGTATTCCAATAAGTTAAACTTTCACATTCATAGCAACTACTACCACTACAATCCGGCAAAAATCCTGACCATGAAATCGGAATGCTCTATTCCGTCCGTTGCACAAGTCATTCTCCACACTTTATGCCACATTACTTTCAGATAAATAGAATGGTGAAGACGATTAGAGCAAGAAGTTTTGCTGTATTTGTTAGAGAATGCCAGACAGTTAGATGAATAGCGATAGAATTGTTGCGAATCAATCAAGCATCGAACATTTGCTGTTAACAAAATTTTTGATTTTTTTTTATTTTTTGGGTTCTTTCCATTTTTTTGGCAACGATCGTTTACGATTTGACAAATTTCAGCAATTTCAATTCAAATTTTGCTTAATGATTTTATCATTAAATTTTATCATTTTTATCATTTTTTCATTCTACCGAATTTCAATTCACTTCAAATTTTTTACATCATAGTTTCCCCACTTTGAAATTGCATTCTCTTTTGATCTCTTTTTTTTTTTTATTATCTAGACGATACGCGATAAGATGATATTATTATCCTTTAATTCATTAATTAGTCTACATAAGCAGTAAGGTTTCAAATTACATTTGTGATAATTTAATTTATTATTATAGCTATAAACATTCATTATTGTGATACTGATAAATTATCACTCTCTCAACAGATATCATGCTTAATACAGGTAACTAATAGCATTCACCATTTATCATTCTTTTATAACTCAGCATCAGTTTATTTCATTTTAAGATTATTCTATCTAAAAAATACTGTTAAAAATTAAAGAGATTTAAATTAAAATGTACTTTAGTAAACTGTTAAAAAATAATTTCAAAAAAAAAAGACTACAAAAAAATAAGTACAAAAGAGAACAACAATAATTGCAGTGTAATTGCAGTTTACAGCTTGGAATGAGTATATTAAGATGGATATAAGTATTAAAACCAATATGATTTGATTGTTTTTCATCATTATTGTGGAGCTGTTCAATTTGCAACTTTTTTTTTTTTTTTTTTAAATCTCAAATTCTAGTTTGAATAGCCAACTATGTGATATTCGCTATTAATCAGTCAAAATGTATCACTGATCCCAGGAATGATAAATAAATTATTGCTGAAATAAGTAGATTCCACGACATTGTTATAATTTTGTCACTTATGATTTCAAATTATTTTTCCATTTTTTAATTTATTCAATAATTTGACGACAGATAATGAATCAAGTTGAAATATTAGGAGAACGAATGTTTTTCTCATGTTCCTTTCAAAATTAATTTACAAATTTGTGTTGTGAACGTTTATTATATCTGTTATTAGTGGATTACTACTGTTTATTTCCTTAATAAATAACGATACTTTGTTTCATATAATCTTGAAAAGAGTTTTTTTTTTTTTTTTCTGCTCAATTTCTGGCCAAATTAATTGATTTTCTGGAATATTTTTTTTTCTTGAAGGATTGAAATGCCTTCAGAGTTTTTATCTGAAATTTAGTTATTGGTTGTATCTTTAAATTAAGGCATTGGTAAAGATTTTGAAACGCTCAACAACAGGTATTCCTTCTTTCGCCACAGTATTTTAATTCTCGTCAACTAGTCGTACAATTATGAATCTAGTTTAACTATATTTACAGAAATTTTCAGTTCTGATTTTATTATTTTATTTGATTTATTTTAAATGAATTATTGAAAAATATTTCTCTAATGTTTCATGTTTTATATACATATAACGATTACTACTATCGAGCGCAATCGGTCGATTACAAATGAAATTCAGTTTTTGCTGCACGAACGATGTAATCAGATTATATCCATCGAATCATCATCGATCGTTTTGTCTGTTAAAGAAGAGTTTAATAATAAATTGTATGGTAGTACTCTTCTCTTCCGTCAAATTCTGTCGTTGTTTGACACTAATTATCATTCATTTAATCATTGTCTGATCACCTGCTGAAGTCGAAGTGTAACGTTTCTGTCCTGTCCATGTAATATTTTCATTCTTTTAAATTATTTAATATTAGATTAGTGATATAAGGAAATAATTTGACATATTTTTATAATATTATTTTTTTTTTTTTTTATAATTTAATAATTTTACATGTATATTTCATTTTTTTTTTTTTTTTTGTAATTTAATAATTTTACATGTATATTTCATTTTTTAATCTTAAAAAGTACTAAGATTATTTCTTATGAATGAGTGAAAAATGAATTTGATTTCAATCAATAATGACCTCTCTCACATCATTTACATTTAGATATATTGTTTAATTTTTGTTAGAAATTGTTCTCACTACTGACTTATTTATTTATTATTATTATTTTTTTTTTTCATATGATAACTTATGAGCAGAAATTGATAGTGAAGGCTTGATTACGATCGGCGATTAATAAATTACTAGTTAGAAGTTTGTTATATATTATTTGGAATATTTGGAAAAAAAAAATGTGTTGCGATAAAAAGAAAAATTCATTTGGAATATTTATAAAAATATAATATTGCAAAAAATTTTTTCATAAAAAAGAAAAAACTTACCTTTCTGTATTTCATTTTTAATTTTAGCTCAGCAAAAAGTATCAAAATTTCATTTTCATTAATGCCTGCATTTTCCGCTTTTCTTGTACTCGCAATTATTCTGTGAGTTTTATTTCAAATTTTTTGGTTATGAAATAAATATTTAGTTTAAATCTGAAGATTACAGAATGGAAAGGAAAGCATTATATTTCATTTTTATTTTAGCTTACTAAAATTTTAATGAGTACCCATTTGAATTATTTTTTTATTTTGTTCTTCCCAAGTTACTTTTCATCCGAAAATGTTAGCTAACAAAATCAATTGAAAACGAGATGCAAGTGGTTGCCTTAGAATATTGATCTAGTTGAATCTAGCACGCTTTCTCCAACATTCCTTTTTTTTTTTCATAATAAGTGCATATTTTTCAATTTCTAATTTAGTTATTTGCTTGTCACTTTTTCATGTCTATCTTTCACATTTTATCCCAGTTCTAAATTTGAGTATTTAGAATAATTGTTTTTATGGTATGGTTATTGATGGTGATGTGATTTTTAAGTTAATGCATTTCTGATTTTTTCTATTTTAAGACCGGTCGAGTAATCAAATTTCTTATTTTTCTCTCTTCAAACTGCTGGTATTGATAAGTTTACGTCCGTTATTTGTAAGAAATGAATTTTGACTATTTCAAGTGTTGGTTCAAAATTTTTATAGGATTTGAAATCAAAATTTTTGGTGCTAAAGAATTTTTGCAAAACTTAAAGAGATCTAGAATTATCCTTGTAATGAACAGTTGTCATAGAGCTTTTAAAATTTTCTAATCTTATTCTCGCATATAATTATTTCCCTTTGTTCAATTAAAATACGAACAAGATTGAAACATAGGATGATTAAATTATTTTCGAAGAATAATGTGAAAAATGTTGCAGTTTATTTCTACACTTCTTTTTTATCACCATATTGCTATAATTGCTCTAAAAATTTTGCTTTTCGATTTCAAAATCGAAGATTTTTAAATGTAGTTTAGCGATTGATTCCTTCTTTTGATATGCAAAATCATAAATTTTCGAAGTTTGATATGTATCATTTGTTGCTAATGTTGATTAACTTTCAAGTTGCCGTTTTAGATGATGGATCCGACATCATTCGGATTTGTAGCAGTAATTGCCGTTTTGATCACTATAATTTCAATTATTGTCTTAAAAATGTATCCAAAAGAAACTGATTTTGAAAAGGTTTAATTTTGTTAGCATTTCAATTTTTATTAGATGCAGTGATATCCATAAAATATGATAAATTGGTTTGAATGTTTTTTTTTTTTTGTGGAATTTTGTTGAAAGTGCGAGAAGTTTTCAAGAGAAGTTGTAATATATATTTTTTTTCTTTTGTAGGCTTACGGAGAAAATGCATTGCGATTGCTTGCTGAGGATCGTGTGACTAAGGCAAAAAGTGCAAAAAACAAAAATAAAGGAAAATATGGTGATAAGAAAAGAGATTTTGTGGTGGAAGAAAAGCAAAATCGAAATGAAGTAAGTATTTAAGTGAGTGAAATTATTTGTTGCTGTTTGTAGTTTTGTCATATGCAAAGTAGACAGTGCTGTAGGCTTGTTGTCATATGCTTAACTTTTCTGTTTCCAGAATATTTCAAATTCATTCTTTTATTTTGTTCATTAAATTTGATCTGATGTTGGAACTCTATAACGGTTGAAAGCTGATATTTGGTACTGAAATTTGAAAATAAGAATTTTTTACTTGCAGAGAATGATGTTGAACTCACTCACAGGTGCAAAAGCTATATATATATATATATTTAATGATTTTAGAGCAGTTTAATAGGAAAATAGGAAAAATAGGAAAAAAAAATTTTTTTTTTTCTAAATTTATTTCCAGAAACCTGCAAATGGTGATTTACTCTATGTTCCATTATCGACAAATAGTCATTGCGGAGCCGATGAATGGAATGGTACGAATGATGGTGAAAATGATACAAAACTGAATCGTAAGAAATCCAAGGGCAAACAGCTGGTGACTGGTTTGTTTATTTTTCATGTTATTTTTTATTCGTTTCTGCTATTTATTGTAACTAATAACAGTTTTGAATTCAGAGTTCAAATCGTTTCTTTCAGTTGACTTTATAAGTTCTTTTAGATATTATATTGTTGTAACGGAAATCTCATGAAAATTATTGAATATATTTGTTTAACTATATTTAATTATATGTATATTTAATTACATTGATTATTATTGGCAAGTTATTATTAACTAGCCTAATTCAACTATACTTTTGGAGACGGTTACTCTTCTCTTCTAGAAATTTCTTTTGGAAAAAGAAAATCATAATTTTCAGCTATTGTTTTTTCAGATTTATATTTTTAAAACTATTTCCAGAAATTAAGCAGCATACAGAATCGGCAAAAGATGAGTACGTTGCTGTTACGAAGACTATGGAAAGTTTATCAGGGCAACGAGATAGTTCTGAGAAGCTAAATGATGAGCCGGAACTAAAATCTACTGTAAAGGTTCTTCATGATGAAAATAAAGGCAACGATGGTTAGTTGTTCAAATTTATGAATAATCTATCATAATATTTACGCTGTCTAATATTATATGATCCGTTTTAACATTATTGTTTGTTTGCGATAGAATTATTTACCCTTTGATATATTTTTCATTCATCTACATATTTAGCATCTTAGACATTAAGAGTTTTTTTTCTGTGCTTCTTTCACAGAACCGAAATTTAGTTCATAAACTAAGTACAAACATTTTAAGTTGGCGAAAGAAAAGCGAGGAAAAAGAATCGTGCACGACGGAATGACGAACATTTACGTGAAATCGTGAAAGGGGAAGTTAAAGTGGCAGATGAAAATCCAGCTGTAGAAATCATGACATCTCTTGAAAATGACGACAAAAACCTAGAAAAGATGAAACCAAAGAAAGGTTAGCGAAAGATTCATTCTAATAATGCTATTAACAATTCTAATTGAAAAAAAGAATCGAAAAGCAGTTCATTGTACATAAAATTATTGTTACACCTCTTCTTATTTAAATATCGATTTTTTCTTTTTTTTTTTCAGCAAATCCATTAAAAGATATTAATACGAACAAATTTCAAGCACGTTTGAATGCTGTAGCAGACCTTGAGCCAGAATATATCACATTTCTCACGAATTATATCAACAGTGTGAATACACAGGTTATCTGATTTCACCTGACTAAATTATTTTTTTTTTTGCTTTATAAAATAAACTTTAGTAACAATGTCGATTATCAGTTATTGTAATATGAAGATGACTCGGCTTAAAACCAGAGATAGTATAATTTTTAATAGATAAAGCTGAGTATAAGTATTATCCGGTTGACTAATATAATTAAATTTTATTTTTCGATGTTTCAAATTTCAGAAAGCCAAACTGGGTGATCAAATTGCTTTGATGAAAAAACAAATTGCCGACAAAGATCGTCTCGTCTTACAGTGTACCGATAAACTCACAGCAGCGGAACAAAAAGATTCAGAAATTGCTATGCTTCAGTAAGTATAAAATGATTTCGTTGTCTGGAAAGTCACATTATTAATAGGAGATTCTCTTACAATAACAGTTTTTCACTGGATAATCATGAATTCTAATTTATTCGTCGATCTAGATGAATACTCACTGATTTTCAATCACCAAAATAGAACGTTTTTAGGAAGGTAACTTTTTTTCTCAATTTTGTTTTGTGTTAGGAAAACATTGGCCGAAGAGAAGAGAAAGTATAAATTATTTGAACAAACAGTATGCACTCAACTGAGCAATAATGCACAAGAAAAGTCGTACTTACAGCGTAAATATGATCAGGTATAGATTTCTATTTTATTTTTCTCATCGACTTTTGAAGGGATAAAGTGATCATTATTTGATAATCGATAATTTAGTTGTGATGTGTGAAAAAAAAAAAAAAAGTGAATTTGAAGTTAGCAATTTAGAAAATTTGTCATTTTTTGAGGATATTAGTTTTTTATCAGTGAATATTGCATGAGCAGAATGAGTTGTTAAATTTTATTTTTATTTTCTCTCAGCTGCAAGGAGAATTTGGTGCATTGAGGGAAGAGATGAAAAAAGCACAATCTGTAATTCACTCGACTCCACCACCCGTTGATACTAAACCTTATCAGCAACAAATTGACAGACTGAAAACTGTACGTTTAATTTTTTCTAATTTTGATTTTAATTCGATTACAATGGAAACCATTTGTCCAATGTTTTAGTTGTTTGTTTATTTGTTTCGAAGTTATTATAAATGAATCTTGAACAAGTGGACATTGATTCATAGAATATATAACTGAATTGAAAAGCTAAGAACTAAAGATGAAAGTCAGTGCAATAATTTTGCTTCCAAGAAGATGTCTTAATTGAGTTAAGCAATAATATAGAGTTATGATAATATAATTTTTAAACAGGATGTGTTTCATTTGTGAAAGTTACTTTTGATATATTTTAGTTAAAAGAATAAAGTTTATGCAAGAAGCTTTGTAATATGATAGCTGTCAGTGATAGGATGATTTCTTTATCTTTGTTTTTAGGAGTTAGCTTCAAGTAAAAACCGTTGTTCGCAACAGGAATTGGAATTGAATCAGCGATTGCAAACACTACAACAAATAAGAAAAGAATTACAGGTAGGATATCCTAGGGATGTTTCACAGATGATTCAGATAAGGATAGCATGAGCTAAAAAGTGCGATATGACGGAGAGTTGACAATAGTTCTCCATTGTCACCCCTATTGTCTTCTACATGAGTAATTTTCGCAGTTCGATGATATGTCAAACAAGGATTTCCCTAAATCCAAGAAAAGATTAATAGTGTATCTTATAGTTCTGTTAAAACTTACTTCAGGTAGATTTCTCATTCATGGTCTCAATATTTAGCAGAGTAACACAAATATGTCTTTTCCTTATTCAATTTCTTGCTATTTCATACTATAGCCAAGTATTCTGTCCGAATTTTCTGGACAGTCTTTTTTATTGACTAAGTTTTTCATATTATTGCTTAAATTTGGTTGCAAAAAAATTTTTTTTTTTCTTTTAAGAATCAAGATTGCCAAATTGAACATTTGAGCAAAACGAATGCTTTACTCGAGAAACGTTTGCAAGATGTTGAAGGCAATGCGGTAAGATTATTTGAATTGTTATAAAATTACATCTCTATTTAAATGATTTTGGTAACAAATAATGTGGTTAAATAGATCAAACACTGAATTTTAAAAATGAATATTGTATGAAATATTGCATTTGAATCCTTTAATATTTTTATTGTTAAACTTCTTGTCACCTGAAAGTGTTAATAGCATATTCGAGTAAGAATATTTTATTCATCGCTTATTCAGAAAGCAGAACGTGATACGCTTCAGATGAAATTGCAAAGCACAATGAAAGTGGCAGAAGAATTAAGTATAGTGACCTCCGAGATTCGAGATGAAATGTTGCAACAGAAAGGAAATGCAGAAACAGCAGTTCAGGAACGAGAAAAAGTCAATTTTTGATCTTTCTCGTTTGAGTTTGATAATCCAAAGTTTTTTTTTTTTTCTTTATTAGTTATCTATTTTTGAATCGATTTGAAAGAATTATTTTTTCGTCAAACATTTGCTTCTTTTTTTCCGAATCGCTACATTCAATTAACACTTCGATTAATTCCCTCAGTTTAAAGTAAATAAGAAAGTGTGGGGTACCCCGTTAATACTATAAAATAAACGCATAAAAAAGTACTGAGAAAATGGAAAAGACTTTGGACCGTTTAGCGAAAACATAAAGTGACACTTTTGCAAATGATCAAATGGTTTTTAAATTTATTTGAAAGAAATATTTATTAAAATGTTTTTCATATTTGCAGCATTGCGAACAAATTCATGTTTTAAATGCGCAACTTATGGATGCAAATCGAGAACGCATGAGATATATGAATGATTGTGCTACATACAGTGAAAAATTGACCGAAATGGAAACTACAAATGCAGAGGTAAGGAATTAATTACTTTTATTATCTACATTCATTTTTTATAAAGCTTTCAAACAGATAGCAAAATGTTGCTTTCTTCGGCTAATTCATTTGCCCAGCCGGAGTAAAGTTTTGTGCATACTCCTTATATGCTATGGGCAGATTATTTAACAGTACTTTCCAAACTTTGATCTGCCTATATTGAATCTTTTATTCCTTGGTTAAAATATTAATTTGAAGATGTTTTTGCAGTTAAGCAGTAAACTGGAAGCACTGCAGAGCGCAACTGCAACGAGTGATGCAAATTGTGGTGAATTAAAGAAGGAAGTTGAAAAATACCGAAAACAGCTTCATGATGTTATGGAAGCCCATGATAACGTGATTTTTTTCTATGATGATCTCGATTAATTTGCTTTAAAAGACTTAATATGACCGCTTTTTCTGCCTGCGACGATTTTATTGTAAGAATGCAAAATGAAACGAATAATATTACATCAATTACATCAATCTCATCTGAAAGCAAGATTTGATTTACTGTGAATTTCGAAAAATTTATTTTTTGGTAAAAAAATTTTGTTTTTCTTTATCTGATTCAAGAAATTTTGTTTTCTAAAGGAATTTCTATAGCAAATTTACATTTTAGAATATAACATCGTTGTCTTTCAGGATATCACCAAGCTAAAGAATGAATTAGAATATATGCAGGAAGAAAAGGAAAAATATGCTAAGCAGATGTCTGTCGAGTAAGTAATTTCTCTCTTCTTTTAAAGTATTACTAATCACTGGAGTAGTACCCAACGGTTCAACTTCTTAAAGAAATATCATACTGGAATTCCGTAGTCAGTGACGATAAGAGCTAAAAAGATCGAAAAATGTACCTTCCCTCTCTAATCGCCCCATTTTCAGCATTTCTAAGGAAATGGTTGAAGTTGCAAAGTGTCGTAAAGAGTTGAGTGAATTTAAAAGCGAATACAATAAAAAACTAAATCATATTGTCTCTCTGGAAGAGGAGATCGCAAAATATAAGGAAGCTGAGATGAAAAGGTAAACAAGAAAATTTTTCTGGATTAATAAAAGTTGGTTCACATTTATTCATATTTTTAAAGTTTAATAATTTGTTAGAAGCCATAAATGAGGACTTCAGGTTTAGGATCATAATATTGCAAAAGTGAATCATTAATTTTTGTGGCTAATTAATTTTGCATACTTCTATGTTATCAGGTTTTTTTTTAAACATTGTAATTTTAGATGGGAGTACTGATTGTAACAAGGTTCAGCTAGTTATACAAAGATTTATAGTAAGTTATGTCATCTAGTATTTCATTTCATAAAGATAAGATTAGAATGTTCCAGTCCGTTCTTTTATTTATCAATGGATTATTCATCTCATTATATTGTAACTGGAAGTTTTTTTCAGAGAAACACTAATATCTTCTTGTAATGATGATGGTATGCTAGAGAAAGTAAGTAATTTTAGTTTTTTCCTTACATTATCGTTAACTTTAAACTGCTCAGTAAGAATCACATTAATGATTGCACCAAACATTTCAAATAAATTAAGTTTGATAGTGAAATAATCTACTTTTAACTCTATATAAAATTAACGAATATGTGTAGATCGAGTAAACCTATGTGATATGTAAATCAGTAACTCAATGAGATAGATCATTTCAGTGGGTCATTTCTTTCTTATTTCTTCATAAACCTTCTCTTAATTGCGAAAATATTGTTCCTAAGGTTGAGCTAATGAAGTATTTGCATATCTTATAATTTACTTCGTTATTTATGTTAACATTATTCTGATATACCGAATAGTCCATTTATTTATTTTTAGTAAATACTAAATAAAACTGATTAATTAAAGCTAAACTTTGCACTTTAAAAAAATTTGATCTTGGATATTTTTTTAATTAAATCCATTTTTTTTTTTTTGAACTTGTAAGTACGCTTATTATAAATCTTTTCAATTACAGATGATAAAAAACGAAGTTCAGTCGGCAGCAAAGGATAATGTTGCAGTTTGTGACGACAAGATTAATTTGGAAATCAATGAATTAAAAATGCAAAACGAGGTTAATAATTAAACTTTAGTAACTAGTGAAATGACATCAGAAATACTGTAGATGGATATTAAAATATGATATATTACCAGTACAGTTATTTAATGGTCCAACTATCCTCTCCTATCAAATATTTCCATCTAGAAATCTAATTTGTAACCTTTTTTCTCCCTTTCTTGTGTATTGTTGAGAAAAAAAACTGATTGAACCCAGCAAATACATGGAAAATACTTTTTGAACAAAAATATTTGCAAATAGAATGAAGGGAAGCAGTTATTTCTTACATTTTAGTAAACCTTATTTGATTTAGCTCATGCAAAGTAAAATCATCAGAATTATGCCATCGAAGCCTAACATATATTGCTAGTATTAAAGTGTATATTTATGTATACTTTGAAAATATTTTATGAAAAGAGTTAAGCTGTTACTGTTTACATGTATGTAAAATTTTTCCGACAAATTAGTCTGAAATTTTATCTTTTCAAATAACATGATGCTTTTTTTTTTTCAGGAATTACGTAAGATAAATTATAAAATTGTAGAAATTTCACAACAACAGGAAGCTATTTTCAAGAAACACTTGGAAGAAATAGAGGTGAATTTAGTGCTAATGAAATAATTTAATTTGAATATAATAGAAAATAGATGAATGGAAACAACATTTCAGAACTTTGAAGATTCAATGGAATTTAAGGAAATTATGCAAATTATTTCAAAAAACAAAAGTTTTACTGACTATGGCTTGAATTAATAATTATAATATTTTTCTTTCTACAGAAAAATCATGTGAAAGCGCTGCAACAGCATTGTTGTAATGTATTCAAGACTCTCTGTGCAATTGCACCGCAAAATACAAAATTGCCAAGTGTACCGGTTATTTGCGATATGGATCACTTTTACAAATGGTTGAGAGATGTCGAGGACGTGATGAAGAAGAACGAAAATGTGAAGGTTAGAAAATTTAATGATGATTTCCCGGTGATTTATAATTTTATTATCCATGTAATCTGAGTTTTTTTTAAAAAAAAAAAAGCCTAAGAGAAGAAATACCATTATTTTCAATATTTAAATGGATCAGCTCTTCCTATCAGTGTAAGTATTAGTTGCTAATTTCAGGTTAAGTTATTTTGAAAGTTTTATGAAAGCTGTTGAAAGTTTTTTGATCGATTTATAGAAAAAAAAAAAAAAAATTATGATACATTTAAGCAGATCAGTAAGAATAAAGGTGATGACAGCGAAAATAAGATAAATTTGAAGAAAGTTGCGGAGCTGGAAGCAAATAATCGAAGGTATCGATCAGCACTTACTAACCTTGTAAGTTTTCAGCATAAAAAAATAAAAATATAAAATCGTTGTTGATTTTTATATATGCAGTGAGGAAGACTTACCTGATTTTCACGTGAAATTTTGATGAAGTTTTCATAATTAATAGATGATGATTAAGAAAAAAAAACTGTGATTGATTTTTTACTGTTTTAATGTTTTATATTAATTATTTTTCTTTTGAATATATCTTCCATTACTCAAATTATACAGTAGAAAGTCCTTGATATATATACCATACTGTATTAAAATGCAAAATAATTACTTTGTCAACCTTTTTTATGGGTACATTTACAGTCTTCTCACATCGATGCAATTGAGCAAGAAGCGATGTTGAAGGAAGAAGTATATCTTAGTGAAATTTCACGTTTACAACATGAAATAAATGGGGTTGGTTATGCTTCTTATATAATTTTAATCTGGTAAAGCAGATTTTTCAGATCTTTTTTACCGGTGTTGCAGTAATGAAATATAGTTGAGTCTATTATTATACTTTAAAAATCTTAAAAATTTCAATCGAATACTAATTGCATGTTTGGCTTCTAGTGTTCTCTATCTGTGTTTCTTTTTGCTTTCATTAATTGTAGCATGCTTTAGAAGCTTTTTGTGCGCATCAATAAATTAACAAGGTACAAAAACAACGGCATATTTGCTACAAAAATCTAGAATAAACTGTTAATTTTTGCTCCACAGGCTAGGTTTGATGATGATGATGATACATAGCTACTTTTAATTGCAAGATGATTTCTCTTAATCTTATTTTTTTGCAAAAATTCTACAAATATTTTTGAAATGCATATAATATCATAGTAAAATATGAGATATGAAACTTGATACTTCGAGCATACGTTAAACAAAATCATTCTTCTAATTTGCTTCTTGATAGTGAAATGATAATTTCAGTGAAACTACCAATTTGTTGTTAGCTTCTATCTTTCCTTTCTTTTTTTTTGTGATGGGATGCATGCTTGTAAGTCAATCATTTTCACTCAGTTGCAGCAACTCAAAAAGCAACTAGAAAATGAACACAAACGAAAATTGGAACTTGTTTCTCAGGCATCTAAAATTTATGAAGTAATGAATAGACAGCAAAAAAAGCATAGTAACAATGAAGTGGTGGTAGCAGAATCACAAGATGAAAAATGGAAGTGCATATGATCTTGGTGGTGTTAATTATGAATCGAATGGAAAATTATACAGAAATGGTATGATGATCGAATTTGGATATTTACGTTTAATATTTTAACATATATTAACCTTTATTATTACTTTTAATTTTATGCTTTTGCTTTTGCATGAACATTTTTTTTTTCTTCTTTCCTTTTCTAATTTATCCTTACTCTAAAATTTTTAGGTTTGGTAATGCATGTTCAATATTTGTCATACTCTGGGATGATCTCCCATGTACGATTTTTTTTTTTTTTTTATCGCTTTACTTCCAAAAATGTAATCACGTAACAGGTTGTAATGCATTTTGGTTAAAAAATCATACTGATATAAATTCGTAATCATTAGTTTTGATGTTTTAATTTATATAAAGTGATAACTGAATTAACTGATGATTCGTCAAGCGAATAAATACGTTAATATTGATTAATTAAATTGTATATACGTTGCAATTTTTCCTTTTTTTTTTTTTGTTTGTTTGCCATTTGCAGATGGATTTGAAGTTTGACAAAAAGGTATAAAGCTAGCCTTTTTGGATGTAATTATATCCTAATTGTTTTACCTTACCTTTATATGGCTTAAGTTCTGCTCTCTCTTTTAGGGGAATTTTAAAAATGCTTGTGTCATTTTCTGTCCACTAGTGCCTCAGTAATACACGTTGAACACGCCATGGTGTGCTATCAGTAATATATGGATTTTGTTTTTCATTTAGTTATATTTATATGCATGCACTTTGCTTTTGCCTTTTCCGTTTTTCCGGTTTTTTTCTTTTTCATTTTTAGTTCAGTGAACTTCTAATAGTGCAAGTGATGTAAATAATGATAAAAGTAAGGTAAGAGTGGAAAAAGAAGCACTCAAACTCGAGCAATTCGTGAATAAATTTTAAAAAATAACAAATCAAATTATAATTATTAAAAGTCAGAAAAAAAAAAAAGGAGATTTTTTGATATAGCAATTATAGGATGAATATGAGATAAAAACATTGTCTTTCGAATGTTGTAATTTAATCTCTAAAATGAAGAAATTTCATTTGGTCGAAACAATCGGATTGGAATTGACATTTCGTAATGCAATTCAAGATATCAAATTTATTATCAATTGATGACGATATTGATTAATTTTTACTACTGTATCTCAAAAGTTGTGTAATTTTCGCATCCTTATTTCAAGTTCATTTTATCGTGTAAATTTCAGATAAAAGTTGTCGGACAACGTTAACAACATTAACAACAATATTGATGATCAATTTAAAACTATTCTTGGACAAAGCCAAAAACCAAAGAGTTGATTTCATGTTGGTTGAATGATGTTAAAACAATGAAAGTTTCGGGTAATTTGAAACAAAGAAGTGAAAGCTTTCCTTTCTCTTTCCTCTTGTTTTCTTTCTTTTGCTATCTTTCTTTACTCTTTACCAGAAGGAAAAATTCTAACAAATTAATGAAAGGTTGATAGGAATGCTTTAGCAAAATCAAAATAATAGAGTAATCATCTAGTATTGAAAATCATTTTCTGCTTTTCTATAGAATTTTTCCATTTTTTAAAATTTTTTAATTGGTGAGTGAAATGATAAGTTATCACATGTGGTGAAGAAATGTAGTTATAATTCCAATATCTGACGTATTGTTAATTACATTTTGCTAAAGTTGTAAATCAAATTCCGGAAGTATTTTTTCTCACTTGTGATTTCTTCACTTTAAATCAAATCACTTATTTATTTCAGTTATGAATTTTCAAAAAAAAAAAAAAAAAAATTTTTTTTTAGTTTCATTTCAAGTTCAGTATTCTATCTTATATAAATGTATTTTTTTTTAGATTATTATTTTTGTGGCACTTAAAAACTTTGTTAGTTTAAAATTGTTTTGAAGTTTTTTAGTTTTTATTTTTGCAGTCAATTGCTGTTGTTGGAATTATGATAACTGAAGGTAGTTTGCACTACTCTTCTTGTTTCATTTCCTTCACTGATAGGTGTCTGCTTATTACATCTAATTTATTTTATTTTATTTTGTTCTTTAAATTTAATGAAGCATTCATGAAACTATACTTTATAATATTTTGTTGATTTACGATTAGACAACAGATATCATTTCCTTATTTTTTCATTTTGTGACAATATTTTATTATGAAAATAATAATTAAGTCTAAAAATATAGAATAGAAATTTTGCTAAATGTGAATGCAAAAGCAAATGAACATTCTTCTCAAATTCCTTATAAAAAATTCTGGTGGTTTTTTTTTCCTGATTTTTCTCGTAAATTTTTGTTGATTCTTCTACTTCCGGTTGTGTCGTTGGTTCTTTTTTTGTTGTCGTTGTTATGCATGCATATTCTTGCTTTTCACATGCATGCATATATGCATGCTGCATTTCTTGAATGTAGTAGAACAAATTTCTGGCATGTTAAAAAGAATGTGAAAAAGATGGAAAGTGGATGTAACCGTGAATGGAGTCATATGACTTATGATTGTAATCTATTCATAGGTCATAGGTCAGATCCATGGTAATTTATTCTTTTTAATATTTTTTCTGTCTTTTTTTTTTATCGTATCTGGTATTACCAAATAGAACGATTTAATTTTGCAATATCATTTCATTGCTTTCAATAAAATTTAGAAAAATATCGAAATTTTACACCGTATCATGGGAAAAGTTGTGGAATTATACTTCTTTTACCGATGGCTTATTGTGATAGTTTTTTGAATTTTATGAAATAGCTGTGGGTAAATTATCAGATAATGTAGTATAGCTGTGGGTAAATTAGCAAATAATTTAGTTATTATCGTTATTTAAACTACGTCTACTGGTATTTTCACTTCATCAACTTTTTACATTGAGCATAGCGATTTGTGTCAAAAAACAAAAGGAGAAAAAATTTTTCACTTATGGAAGACAAATAATTTATAATTTATCGTACTTCAGAATTTTGGCTGGTTTATTGATTTTTCTAATCAGTTTTTAATATCGTTTCAATTTAAATCTTCATTAAAACGAAGCATATTTTAATGCCAAAGTAGCCAATCATAAAAGTCAATTTGCAGTGCTGAAAATTCTGAATGGAACGATAAAAAACAAAATTTACTACATTTTAATTTGAAAGTAATTAAATGAAGAAATGGAATAATAACAAAAATTGCATCATTTTAATTTATTAATTTTTTTAAAATTATTCTATGATTTATATAAATAGTCAAATTACATAGCTTCCTAATTCACTTCTTCCTATAAGATTGAAATTAAAGTTAGAAGTAATATACATTGTTTCATAATTTTTAACTTTTTATTAAAATGATCAATCAAATGATGGGATTATTTGTATACATATTGTAGTTGTGAGGAAAAAAATGAAAGGAATGTAACTTTCAACATTTTAGATCAAATCAAATCAAATAAAAGTGTTATGCAAATTTCATCCAATAAGAAATATTTCACTTAATAAACGAGAAAATGAATCAAAACTTAGTTTAAAGCTGTTGTTAGATTTCACTTTTGATGCTACAGTAAAAATCAAAATGATTGAAAATTTTAGGATGGAAATAATTGTAATCAGTAATGCATTTATGTTTGATTAAAAAAAGAGAAGCCAAAAAATCGGTGTTAGTAATAGACGAGGATGATGTAAATTCTCAAGATAACATTTTCATAGCAACAAATGGAAGTAATTAAGAAATTGAATAAAAATCTCGAATTAAGAATTAGTTAATTAATTAATTAGCTGAATATATCATCTGCAGTAATGGAAGAGTAATTACAACTAACTGTTTCTTTCCTCTTTTGTAGTACAATTCATATATTCTCGAATTGAATGATAAAATTTTCTCGTATTTCTCAATGATAAGACTTTTCATCAAAATTAAAACTTCCAAATTGAATTTTCAATTCATATGTGACAATACCAAAGGAATTTCCCGCATTTCTGATAATTATGCAATTTTTCATCGATATGAGTCAGCCTATATGATATTTCAATTTTAAACGTTATGAGAATATTTCCGCATATCATGTAATGGGTTTCCGGTTCCCTATCGATTTGAAATTTTGTTGATTGTGTTTCAGGTTTTCTGATGTCCTTTGTTAACATATGACTCATATGCTATCAAAAATTTTCCCGCATTCATGCAACCACTCGTTGCTTTGTAGGTCAATGCTTGAATCCCGCTGCTTTGTGGGTCAATGCTTGAATCCCGTTGCTTTGTGGGTCAATGCTTGAATCCCATTGCTTTGTAGGTCAATGCTTGAATCCCATTGCTTTGTAGGTCAATGCTTGAATCCCGCTGCTTTGTGGGTCAATGCTTGAATCCCGTTGCTTTGTGGGTCAATGCTTGAATCCCATTGCTTTGTAGGTCAATGCTTGAATCCCGCTGCTTTGTGGGTCAATGCTTGAATCCCGTTGCTTTGTGGGTCAATGCTTGAATCCCATTGCTTTGTAGGTCAATGCTTGAATCCCATTGCTTTGTAGGTCAATGCTTGAATCCCGCTGCTTTGTGGGTCAATGCTTGAATCCCGTTGCTTTGTGGGTCAATGCTTGAATCCCATTGCTTTGTAGGTCAATGCTTGAATCCCGCTGCTTTGTGGGTCAATGCTTGAATCCCGTTGCTTTGTGGGTCAATGCTTGAATCCCATTGCTTTGTAGGTCAATGCTTGAATCCCATTGCTTTGTAGGTCAATGCTTGAATCCCGCTGCTTTGTGGGTCAATGCTTGAATCCCGTTGCTTTGTGGGTCAATGCTTGAATCCCATTGCTTTGTAGGTCAATGCTTGAATCCCGCTGCTTTGTGGGTCAATGCTTGAATCCCGTTGCTTTGTGGGTCAATGCTTGAATCCCATTGCTTTGTAGGTCAATGCTTGAATCCCATTGCTTTGTAGGTCAATGCTTGAATCCCGCTGCTTTGTGGGTCAATGCTTGAATCCCGTTGCTTTGTGGGTCAATGCTTGAATCCCATTGCTTTGTAGGTCAATGCTTGAATCCCGCTGCTTTGTGGGTCAATGCTTGAATCCCATTGCTTTGTAGGTCAATGCTTGAATCCCATTGCTTTGTAGGTCAATGCTTGAATCCCGCTGCTTTGTGGGTCAATGCTTGAATCCCGTTGCTTTGTGGGTCAATGCTTGAATCCCGTTGCTTTGTGGGTCAATGCTTGAATCCCGCTGCTTTGTGGGTCAATGCTTGAATCCCGCTGCTTTGTGGGTCAATGCTTGAATCCCGTTGCTTTGTGGGTCAATGCTTGAATCCCGTTGCTTTGTGGGTCAATGCTTAAATCCCATTGCTTTGTAGGTCAGTGCTTGAATCCCGTTGCTTTGTGGGTCAATGCTTGAATCCCATTGCTTTGTAGGTCAATGCTTGAATCCCGTTGCTTTGTGGGTCAATGCTTGAATCCCATTGCTTTGTAGGTCAATGCTTGAATCCCATTGCTTTGTAGGTCAATGCTTGAATCCCGCTGCTTTGTGGGTCAATGCTTGAATCCCGTTGCTTTGTGGGTCAACGCTTGAATCCCATTGCTTTGTAGGTCAATGCTTGAATCCCATTGCTTTGTAGGTCAATGCTTGAATCCCGCTGCTATGTAAGTCAATGCTTGAATCCCTCTGCTTTTTAGGTCAGTGTTTAAACTTCCACACATATCTTCCCTTTTTACCCAATCTTGTCTCAATTACCTTTTTCCTTCATTCACTGGTATATCCCAGTGTTCGGTCATTTGTCAACAACAATCTCGTTTTTATTCCCAAAGTCACACTGTGTGAAATTAGCAATATCATTAACAATAGTGATAAATTATTGATGATAAATATAAAAACCGCTGGAACCATCAAGAAATTTTGCGCCAATGATAACATACACTGAGCGCATAACTAAAATATTTGAATTTCTTGTTTTAATCTTATGAAAAATTATTGAGAGAGAGAGAGAGAGAGAGACATAGATGTAATTACAAGAAGAGATAAGTATAAATTTAAAGCTATGAATATAATTTCAAGTGTCTATTTTAAACTTTCATTATAATTAGTTTTAATAATATTTGATAATCTTTGAATTATTAATGAAAATTTAATTAAGCTTTTGCGAACATTGAAAAAATAAAGGTTTTTTCTTTTTCTTTTGAATAAAAAGTAGATATATCGAATAACTTCCATAATTTTCCAAACATATTTGATCGATAAATTTCAGTACATTTCAACAATCATGAAATGAATATTTTAATATTCTGACAAAATACATAATTAATCAACATATGTCATTATTATTAATGTTGTTGCTCTATTAATTTTTAACTACCTTTTTAAATTTAGCAGTGAAAATTTTTTTTTGTTTGAATTTAAATTTTAAATTTGACTTTGTTCGAGAAGCTTTTTTATCTTTGATGACACAAAAATACAACACAATTCATATTTGATGAATTAAATAGAAGCGAAATTAAAAATTTTTTGCTTTTTTGTGTCACTAAGGTCAAAAATTCAAAGTGGAATTTCTATTTGATTTTAGAGAATCATCTTCGAAACCGTAAATATTAATAGTGAAAAATATCATATAAAATCAATTTTTAATGTTTTTCTCAAATATTTAATTTAAAAGCATTTTAATGAAACCATAAAATTATCAAATTATCATTGCTTATTTTGTTCAGAAGTGTTTTCGTTTTTTTTTTTTTTTTTTTGAACTTCACTATTAATTACATTAACATTGCATAATGATTTGAAAATTTCACATTAAATCATATTTGTACTTTGAACTTTTGTTCATTAATTTATTTTAGAAAGATTTGAGGAGGAAAAAAGAGATATTTTTTTCTATTTTAAATTTGCTATATAAATTTTGATAGAGAAAAAAGGTAATAACTGCAGTTATAAATATTTTAAAAAAAATTTATTTTTGTTTTATATTTTAAATAATTCTATCTCTTAACTTTCATTTCATACATATCTTACATACTTTATAAAATCCTTTATTAAATTCAAAAATTTTGATCAATTCGTATGTCATTGCAATTTGCTTAATATTTTCTTAACACTTTTAAAGATAATCGATCGAAAACGAAAATGAAATTTTATAGGAAAAAATATCAAATCAACATTTTTTTCTTTTTTTTTGTAAACATTTTTCAAATATTTTCCATTGAATTAACAATTTAATAACAATAATATCAATTGGTTATTTAATTGTTATACTTAGCGCTAACTTAGTTATTTAACTTTTAACCTAAATTTTACAAATATTCGTTATGTCTTTCATTTACATTCGAAGTGTTATCTCTTCGATGGAAATGCAACTTAAAATGTAGTAAAATTAAAATAGAATTTATTAAAAATCCTTTAAATAGCTTAAATAGCTGAAAATTTCTTTTTCTAACAAAAAATCCTAAAATGTATTAAAGCAATGCTTTATTCATTGAATGAAAGAAAAAGAATAAATTGAAAGTTCAAACAATCATATACAAACTTTAAGCAAATTACGGAATAAATTTGAAAAAATCAAACATAAATACAACTATTAGAATAGAATTTGCATATTTCTTTTTTTTTTTTTGATAAATTTTTGAAAAAAAAATTAATTTTTGCATTTAAATATGACAACAATATTCCATAGCTTTAGATAATATTACCTATATCACATCCATCACCTACAGTTGATGCGGTTAGTGCATCCCGGATTTCCGGATATACTTCATGCAGAACAAGCATTAATGATGTACCCAAGATTACTGCACGCATTTGCATTCCAACTTGCATCATTCTGTAAATTGAAAAAAAAAAAAAAAAGTTCTTTGAATAATTTTTCTTTTGAAACTATTTTAGCACAAATTAGCACTAAAAATTTCACTTAAGCTCTCTCTCTCTCTCTCTTTCTTAAAAATAAATTATAATCAAAATTATTTGAATTAAACTCACACTTACTCATATTTTAAAATAAGTGTCCTTCCATTTAAGACAATTTTAGGATAAACTCGTGCCAATTCAATGCCATCCATACGTTTGAATCGATAGATACATTCAGTTTCTAGTAAACCAATCATTTTAAGTACTGGATATACCGATAAAGTTATCTGCAGATAATTAATGATTAAAATTTTATCAGTGATATATAATTTTTTCTTTTTATTATCACAGAATCGTTCAATGAAATTATTAACATCTATGACAAATTCTTATTTGAAAGCCAATTGGAATATAATGCAATTAATTCATTAATGAGTTCGCATTGAAATTCTAGAAATTATTCGTTTATTTATTAAAATAATTTTTGAAGGTAAAAAGTATACCTTTTCAACATTAATTACTGGTTGATCTGATGATAAATGATGCACTTGAAAACGATAACTATTTGTTTCTATATTATTATATAATACCTTTAATAAAATTAAAATTTAATAAAACGATTAATTTCTGACCTGTCATCACTGAATAAGCCATCCTCATCTAATCATTTTTTTTTATTCTATGATATAATTTTAAGATTTTTTGAATGAAATTTGTTAATCATAAATGAAGATAACATTATGTTACATTATTACAACAAATTACTTTTTGTACTGATTTAAAATTATAAAGTAATTATTGATTAAAATTAAATTTTAATTAATTGACTCATAAATTAGCAATGAGCGAAATTAATATTTTACCTTATAAATTGTGGTACTGAGTGGATGAACAATTTTGCCAATTGATGATGATGCAGTATTGTTGGGTATCTTAATATTCATCACTCGTGCTCCAGTTGCATTTTTTACTTCAAAACCATGACCTATAAATTTAAATTTAAAATTAAATTAGTAAATTAGTTTAATGATTTTTCTATATTTTCGAATGTATAAAAGTAATTCTGAAACAATAAATAACTCATTCTTCTCTATTACACTTTTAATTTTAAATTTTTTTTAAAAAGAAATTTAATAATAGCATATAAATATCATTGTATTCTAAAAATTAATAATAAATGATGCATATTATCAAATTTAATTATGAGAATGATTAAAAAAAAATTATTGAAATTCTTTCTTTTTTATTTTTCTCTCTCCAATTTTTGGTCTATCTAACATACCGTAAGACAATTATACCGTAAACCAATAATATTACAGAAATGAATAAAGTAACATACCGTACCAGATATCAGGTTAGCAGACATAATTGTTTTCTTATTTCTCCTTTCATCTCGTATCAGAAAACGAATATTAAAATTTGTATTGTTATGTTCAATGAAATCCACTGTTGCTTTAATTCTAAATGAAAAAAAAAAAAAAGAAAAAAAGCAAAATTAATTTTTTTAATGTATCATTAAATTTAATTAATAGCCATTTAATTGATTAACTGCAAAATATCTTTTTGGTTTTTTTCTCATATTAGTAATTTATAAATTTTAATTTTCAATAGAATAAAAATTGATCATAAAATAAATACATTTGAGTGTCATTAGCTACTTTAATTGAAATTTTATCAGTTGTCATTAGTGCCGCACATTCCGGAATTTCAAATATATTGCCATCAATACTGAATTGTAATGCTTTTGCGACACTAAGTTTCATTTGATTGAATAGCGACATTTCTCTGCAAATTTCATTTTTTAATTATTTATTTTTAAAAATTTCGTAAATTTCCTGACAATTAGCAAAAGTAATTACTAGTATAACATAATTTCTTAAGTTATTCTGGTAATTAATTCAGATGAATACAATATCAAAGGTTAAATATTATTGATTGATCTGTTGAACTTTAATTTTTTTCTTTTATTTTTCTGTTATCTGTCTTCAAAGCCAATGATATTTCATTTTTATTGATTGATTTAAGAAAAAAACTTTTCCATCGATATGTTAAAATATTTATTGCGAACATAATAACACACTGATATTATCAAATATCATCGAACTGATAATCTTTATCAAATTATTTTAAATGACTTTTAAAAGTGCGATAACATAACAGTATACGGTAGAAAGCTTAAAATAGAAAGCAATAAAATGAAACTGTCCAAATAGCGCCATCAATAATTAATAATATATTGATAATATAACAAAATGATTTCACAATAAACAATTTGTTTACTTTTTTGAACTAAAAAAGTTGATAAATAAGTGACAATCATAAATGAAATATTTATATTATGATCAAAGAAAATGATCGATAAATTTTTTCTTCGCTTTTACCTTTTCCTTCTTAAAATATAATACAAAAAAAAAAAAAAAAAGGCAAAAAGCAAAAATGAAAAAGGCAATAAAGTCGTTGGAAAAGTAATTTTTGTTTGCATGCCCTTTATTTTTTTTTTTTTTTTTATTGAAATGTTTATTCCGCCATTTTGCTTTTCATTAACAATTCGTTTGATTCGATAAGGTATATAGTTTTGTGGATCGTTCCTTTTTCCTATCTTTTTTTTTTTTTTTATTTTTCTTTTAAACTTTTTTCATTTCATTTTTTTTTTTTTGTTTTGTTTTCAAATATTCAATAATGTTAGAATTGCTTGAATTGTATAATAAACTATATGCATTTTAGATGAATTTCTTTGACATAAAAATTGTTGTAAAATATTTTTAAATATCCTAAAATATGTTGATAATATGAATATGCATAAATTTATTTCATATTGATAAAAAACTGTTCTAAACGTGATATACGTACACGTATTACGTATATAAAAGAAATAATGTTCACTAGTTTGAATTAAATGTTAGTAATTTCAATGCTTCGTACACAATTATCACTTAAAAAAATGATTATTCGTTGAGTTAAATAAAAGTAATTTTCAGTGATGCATATTACACGTACGTGGAAAGAAACTATTGAATTAAATGAAAATAATTTAAAATAATTCACATTAAGTATGTACACGTATCACGTATGTGAAAAAAAAATACTTAAAAAAAATTTGGGATGAATGAACTGAAAGAATTGGAACTTTTTCAACTGCTACTGAAATTTAACTGTTTTACCAAATAAATTACTACTTTTATTAATCTAAAATCGAATCAAACATATTTATTTATTTATTTAATATCATTTTATTATTTTACGAAGTTAATGTAAAACTATCAGTCGAATTTTTGATTTTAAATTAAATTGAATAAATTTATTTTATTCAGAAACTTATTTTGCATCTCAATTGCATTTTATTTGCACTAAAATTATAGTTACTTAAAAACATATTTTTAAAATTTGAAATTGTAATTTATCGTCGATTTCGAACTTGATGAATCTTACAAAAAAAACTCCAAAATTAAAACAAAAAAAGTTCGATTTTTTGATTACCATAAAATAAATATCAGATTTTGATCTGATACTTTTAATTGGAAAATGAAAATCTAAACTAAAATCAAAAATCAAAAATTTAAAATTGACATTTAGCCATAACTAGATATTAGCCTATCAATAAAAAAATATTAACCTATCCCAGATCAATAAACATTTTTCCGGAAAACGGAAATGGCGAGACAAGGAGAAGAGCTACTATGAAATAACAATTGAATAGACGTGACATGACATGAATAATTCTTTGCCGGAATTGTACCGGAAAACAATTTCATTACTAGTAAGCAACATATACATCTCCAAACAATATAAATGAAATATTGGGATGTAATAATTCATTAAAATAAACGAAGAAATAGAAATACGAAAAACAACAAAGTTCAAAATTAAAAATGTATAATGAAATAATTTTCCAGAAATCATATGTACAGATTTTTTCTCAAATGTAAATCGATACCGGATAGCATTATTCCGGTTTAATAAGCACAGCAATTTTGCTGTTAATCATTGAGAATGAAAAATTGACATTACCAAATGTTTCAATGTTTAAATGCGATAAAGTATAAAATAGAATAAATTAAAAAATTTACACTGTTTATTTGATTATTTTTAATTATTTTAAAGTTATGACTGATGCGCAAATATCTCATAAAGTTATTTAAGTGAGCGCAAAAATTCATCGTCTCTTTAAAATGTCACATCATTCTCAAATTAACCCTTTTAGTGCTAACAAATAATTAGAAATGATCTCTAAACATATTAAAATTTTCTGAAAAATTATCATCGATATATATTTCTCGTAAAGCTAATGCGCAACTATCTGATAACAATGGCAAATTTAATTTTTTTTTTTTTTTTCAAAAAGAAATTTTAAAAAAAAAAGTGAAAACTCTCTAAGAATTGGATATCACTTCATTTACTTATGTTATGACACTATTAAAAAATTATAAAATTAAAAATTTTTCAAGTAATATAATTTTTGTAAAAAAAATATTTTAATTTTCAATAATCAAAATTTATATTGAATTCATTTTATTCAAAATAAATTATAAATTTATTGGAATTAGTGATTAATTGAAAATGATTAGTTAAAAAAAAAACAAAGAAAAAAAAATTTCTTTTTCTTTTTTTTTTTTTTTTTGCATTTTTCAATTTTAAAAATGTGATAGAATTGAATTTAGAGGTTAAAATCATAAAAATGATAAAATGAAAGAAATATGTAAATCATCGAATGAATGAACGAATGAATGAATAAATAAATGTTTCGAAATGGGAAATGAAAAATGAAATGGTATGTGATATTTGATTCAGTTATTTGTACAACTGCTTGTGAAAGCTAAAAATGCTTGAAAATGGGAATGAAATAAAAATAAAAAATAAATTAAAAAAAGGACAATTTGAAGCGATTTGATTTCAATCAATTTTATTGATCGGAATCGATTGAACTTTTTTGACAAATTGAAAGAATAATTAATTACAATTTGATTATGTAATAAAATATGAATTAAATAGTTTTTTCTTTTTTTTTTTTTAAATTAAATAATACTTTTCCAGTAATTTTCATTTTTAGAACTTTTTTTTTAGTACTACAAATTCTATCAAATTGAACTGAAAAGTAGTATGCTGATGGAAATATTTCAGTACAAAATAATTATAACTTGAAAAATACTGAATAATATAAAAATTTATTACAGAATAAGAATATTAATTTATTAATTTAACTAATGAATGCATTCTTACATGTGCAATTCTTCACAAAGTAATAGTTAAAAATTTTCAAATTATTTCCAATTTATAAATTATATATGCAAAATTACATAATCAAAAAAAAAAAAAAAAATCTGTTAAATAAAATATTTTAAAAACTTCAAATTTTTTGAAGAAAAAAAATTTTTGTTTTAAAATATTTTAATTGATATAGTAAAGCTGAAAATTATCACTTTCATACAAGGTATGTATGCAAAAAATTACACAAACATTAAATTCTCTTTTTTTTTTTTTTTCAAAATTTTGTTTTCTTTTAATTTTTCATTAATTTTTTAAAAAATTTATGTAAAATAAAACTTAATTGATTGGTAAATTTGTTGCTTTTGTAGATTTTAAAGTGATACTTTGATAATGCAAACATTTATATAAGAATTTATATTAATATTATCGTTGTATTCATCAGAATTTTATTAAAGCTCGAAAATTATTTATTTGTGCACACTTCAATGAACAATAATATTCTTCAAATTTCATAGATTTTATTATTTATTTATTTTTTCTCTGTTTGCATATCAATTCTTGACTACTTGAAATAATTTTCAAATTGGTATTAGAGATTGAATTTGACGTAAGAAAAAATTGTATATTTTATAAGATTTCAAAATAGCAAATTACAAATTTCAATTCATAATAAGAATTTTTGTTCTGTCAAATTCAATATGAATTTAAAAAAGTTTTTATGAATTAAACAACAGAGGAACAAATATTTTTTGTCATTAAATTATTGCGATAACGTGCGTAAGAATGTGCTACGTCTTTTTGACGTGAGCTACGTCAATTAAATTATTCAGCATATTTTTTCTAGATTTACATGAAAATGAAGTAAAAGTTGTTTTTTTTTTTTTTTTTTCTAAAAAATGCTTAATTTATTTTTGTTTTAACAAAATTTATCAGATATTTCACTGAATTTTTTTTTTTCTCTTCAAAATTTCAACAATTCCATAATTTTTAAATCATATCGATGAAACTTAGCCTTGGCTGAGTGACAGTTACTGTATTCCTGAAAATTTTTTAATGTTAGTAAAGTATTCGATTTTTTTTTTTTGCAAATTTTTAAAAATTATATATTTTAAGATTTTAATTAACTATTTTAAAATTTTAGCACTTTAAATGAACTCTAGTAAATTAATAGAAATGTAACAATGATTTCTAAAATTTGACAATTATTGAATTTCTAATACAATAGCTGTTTTCTTGAAATATGCAATTCTTTGATATTACTAACTATTTGCTAAATTATTTTCTAGTTAGCAAAAAAATAAATAAATAAAAATAACATAGAAGATAAGTTTCTTCTCCTGAAATTAATCCTAATTTTAATCAGAATTTTTAAATTTTATTTCATTTAATTCTAGAAGAAACCTCTACTACCTATTTTATTTTAATTATTTTCAACAAAAACTTTATTTACCACTTTTCCACTTACTTTGTTTTGCCAGTAGCACCGAACATTTCAATTGCATTTCGCTTAAAACTATAATAACATTAACAAAAATGAACACTGAATTTATCAGATATTTTATTTATAACTATGCTA